ATGTTTAACCACTGAGTCACGCCAGCTAGGTCCTTTTTAATATTTATACTCTGAATGCTGGGACATTCCTGCGATTTCATACTTTTTTTTTTTTTTTTTTTTTTGTAAGAGAAATGAATTATACTTCTGGGATATTTAATGGTTAACTCCTCTTTTGGCTCCAGAAGGAGCCTTCCCCTCTTGGGTGTGTCATGTAGCAGGCAGTCGGGGGCCTGCTGGTCACACCCCATGTCTGTGATGCACACAGCAAAGAGAGAATCTGCTGGAGTAGATTTCTAAGGGGTGAGGAGAGCTCAATAAAATGTTGGTTTCCATAAAAATAAATAAATAAATAAATAAATAAATAAATAAATAAATAAATGCCATAATATAAAATGGAGAGTGATGGGTACGCTCTGAGAAAATCCAGTGGGGTCCAAAAGGTGATAATCTCCGTTGTGAACATTTATGATTTTTTTTTTATTTTCATTATTTGATGAGGACAATTTAAAAACAATTTTACAATACATTTTTCAAAAGAAAAGTTTTATATATTAACTGGAGGCCTGATGCATGAAATTTGTGCAAGAGTAGGCCTTCCTTCCCCCAGCTGCTGGCACTGGCTTCCCTCTGGCACCCGGGACCCAGGCTTCTCTCCGGCACATGGGAACCAGGCTTCCCTCACAGCCCAGGCTTCATCTGGAAGGTCATCTGGAAGGACGTATTATGCTTTTATTATTATAGATTAGCCAAATAATTCTTCAAATAATCAATTTGCTTCAAGCTGAGAGACAAGTTGCCTTCTGCTTGGGAGAGTGGGAGGGTCTTATGGTTTCCAGCCACTTTCCATTTGGCCAGGCCATGGTAGGTGATAGTTGGCTCAACTCGCACATTTCCCAGTACATAGAAGGCAGAACATGGGCCACACTGATGGCCATGGTGAGCAGCAGGAGAGAAACATCTCTGTTTAAAGTAGGAGCCTGTACTGTTTCACCATCACTCCTCCACTCCCAACCCTCCCCCAATCCCTTCCCCCATAGACACACACAGAAAAGCCAGCTGAAACTCAGCCAAATGGCTTTCAGCAAATTAATTTCCTAACAGGCTAGTCAGCTTCTTTTGTTTACCCTTCTCCTTAAGTAACCACTTACAGTAATTTAGGCCATGAATTTACAGATGTGTATGATACAAATATATAATTCATGACATTTTTCTAGAAATTACTTTTTTATTTCAGCAATATAGCGTGGTTATTCTTCTATGTCAGTGTGTAAGGTCTAATTCTTTATTATCAACATTGAGACTTTTGTTTAATTTGCATGGCACAATTGTATTTAATGAGAATAGTTAAGCACCAATATTCTCCTCTCTGATCAGTTTGTGGTTCTGAAATGGACAACAAAGGCATAGTCCAGAGGAGTATTACATGGGACCATTAGCCAGCAAACAAGCTTTTCACAAAATAATTCTGTTGAATGACATGGAACAGGGAAGTCCTTTATAATTGAACTCAACGGGTCTCAATCTTGGCTACACATTAGAACCATCTAGAGATTTTTTTAAAAACCCACAATATTGCCGAAACCGATTTGGCTCAATGGATAGAGCGTCGGCTTGGGAACTGAAGGGTCCCGGGTTCGATTCCTGTCAAGGGCATGTATCTTGGTTGCGGGCACATCCCCAGTAGGTGTGCAAGAGGCGGCTGATTGATGATTCTCTCTCATCAATGTTTCTAACTCTCTCTCTCCCTTCCTCTCTGTACAAAATCAATAAAATATATTAAAAAAAAAAAAACACAATATTGTGAAAACTTTTATCCACACAAAAGCCTGCACATGATATTTGTATCATCCTTATTCATAATTGCCAAATTTTGGAACCATTATGTTCTTCATTAGTTGAATGGATAAATGGACTGAGGTACACCCGGACAAAGGCATATTGTTTAACACTAAAAAGTAATGCACTATCAAGTCATGAAAAAGACACGAATGAACCATAAATGCACATTACTAACTGAAAGGACCCAATTTGAAAAGGCTACATACTGCATGCGTTCAACTATATGACATACTGGATAAGGCAAAACTGAGGAGGGTAACAACATCAGTGGTTGCTGCAAGTTGGGGGGTGAGGGGGCCGAGAAGGAGGAATGAATGTTGGGAGTACAGAGGGTGTTTAGGACTGTGAACTACTCTGTATACCATAATGATGGACACATGTCATTAAACACTTGTCCAAACCCATAGGACATACAACACTCCAAGAGTGAACCAAAAAGTAAACTATGCCTTTGGTGCTAATGATGTCAATGTGGGTCATCAGCTGTAACAAATGCACCACTCTGGTTAGGGACGTCGATAATGGGGGAGGCTGCAGTTGGTGGGGGGCAGGGAATATATGGGAAATCTCTGCACCTTCCTCTCAAGTTTGCTATTTTCCTAAAACTGCTCTAAAAACATAAGGACTTAATTTAAGATAATAATACTGTTGTCTGTCTGGGCTCCACTGGTTTAGTTGCTCTGGATTGGAACCTAGAAAGCTGGGTGTGGGTTTTTTGTTTGTTTTTTAATAGACTCTATTTTTTAGAGCTGGTATGTGTGTGTTTTTAAAATATGTTTTTACTAATTTCAGAGAGGAAGGGAAGGGAGAGAAAAAGAAACATCAATGATGAGAGAGAATCATTGATAGGCTGCCTCGTACATGCCCCCTACTGGGGATGGAGCCCTCAACCTGGGCATGTTCCCTGACTGGGAATTGAATCATGACCACATGTTTCATAGGTTGACACTCAACCACTGAGCTGTACTGGCCAGGCATGAGCTTATATGTTTTAAAAAGTACCACAGATAATTCTACTGTGCGTCAGGAGTGAATAGTTATTGGTCTAAGTCACCCTTCAATTTTCTCAGGTAAGTTCCTACAGATCTTCCCTCAGGCATCCTTGCTCCACTGTTTGAAATAACCCATACCTGTCATACCTCTATACATCTCAAAATTTCCCCCCCTGCCTGACCACCCCAGCCCCACTCACCAACAGGGAGGACCACTTTCCATCAAGTGTCAGCCCCAGCAAATAAACGGCTTCCCTAACACCTACCTAAAGTGTTTTGTTGTTCCCTTAACACACTTTCCTATGACCTAGTTTTTTGGGCTTACCTATGCTACCTATACTCTTTATCAGGATGCATTAATTGTTTGAGTGCATGTCTGCCACTCCACTAAACTGAGCAATTTGAGAGTAGTGTTGTGTTTTATTCATCTTGTCAGTACCTAGCACTAGCTAACTGAATTTTTTGGTCAAATAAAAAAAGATGCACCAAGAGGGTCATCATGTATAAACTATGCCTTGAAACTGAAAAATCTAGTATTTTTCATTCCAAGTTTATTTACTGCTTGCTAAACTATGAAATTCTCCAGAAACTCTTGTTCCCAGTTCCTCATGTCTTGGCCCAGGGAACAGAACTCTGGTTAAAAGATGGAAGCATAGTCTTTAGCAGACAGGTGTGTCCCTCTGACTAAGTCATATAATTTAATTTCTCTGGGATCCTGTTCTTCTTCTGTAAAATGCACATCCCTGAGGCCCCCTCCTCTGTGAACCAAACCCTACAGAACAGGGTTTACACTCTTCTTCAAGTGACACTTGAAGATTGTTTCCCTGTTTGAAACAGAGGGTCAGAGAGGGAGAGATGTATAAAAAACTGAACACATCAAGTTATTATAGTTTTATTTAATGAAACAAAAATATCAAAATGTTTGAAATATAGATTAAAGGTAAATTTTCTTTGAAAATTCTTTCATAATGGTAATCTTGAACATAAGAATTGTCCCCTCCCAATTGTCATCAAACTTCTTCAGCTTGGTCAATCAGGAAGGCATAAAACCCAAAGTAAAATTATAAAGAAGATTACATTTGCGGTAAGCTCAGTGTTCCCTCTTAATCTGCTCATAAAGCATAATAACCTATATTGCATTAAAAAGAAAACAGAATTTTGAATTAGTTGGATCCAAATGAGGCAGGCATCTTCAAACCTGAGGGGAGAGAGAGGAAAGTCTTTGTTAGCAAGTATACTTATTTTGTTTGGATTACAGACCACACCACCCAACTTGTCTAACTTTGGCTGTGTACATCACCATTTGTAAAGGAAGTAGCTGCAGACAATTTTCCAGACCCATTACAAAGAGCATTTCCCTTTAGTTTATCCCATTGGTTCTCCCACAACCTAAGAGAAAGGAATTGCTGGCATTACAGTTCAGATTCTGGCTCTATCATTTGGCTACTGTGTGACTCTGGTCAGGTCACCCAGCTTCTTTAATGCTCTCTTGAATTAATTTCCCTGTCCTAAAATATAACAGGAAATTTGAAGAGGCTTTCTACTCTGTCCAAAGAGGCAGAGAAGCCCAGTTCTCCCCTCTTTCATGCTGCTGGTGCCCCTTGGAGTTACACCCATTTTAGTATCTTTATATCGCGTTATAACCCTGTTTCTATTTCTCTCCTCTATTGGACTGGGAGCCTCTAGAAGGCAAAACAGTGCCCACAGCTAGGGCTCGACAGGAGGTTGAAGGAATGGGACAGCTTCAGAACCATGCCACTCCTCTCATCTGACGAAATAATAATGCAACTGCTATGCAAGAAAAGAGAAAGGCTCAGAGAGATTCCATGTGGAAATGGCAGGAAAAAAGAGCAAACCCTTGCAGGTGGTGTGGGTAACCAGCTGCCTCTATCCTGTCATACCACATCAGCAGCCCCTCTGACTTCCTTTAGAGGGCCGGTGATGTGGGCAGAGCCACATCTGGGGCCACACACCTCACTCATGCCACTCCACCGGAAAAGGGAATGTGACCCTGCAGGATTCTTCTCTGCCTGCTGAAATGCTACCCCAATGAGTGCCCTCCGTGTACGAAGGGTTATCATATTAGAGCTACCTGGGAATAGTCCCCGGGATAATGGAACAAAACAAAACAAAAGAAAGCTTTTTTTTTTTTTTTTTTAAGTTAGAAACCTACCTCCATGGTGCTGGTTACTTGTCCTTGTCTGTGAAAAAGAAAATGGGGAAAGAAAAAGGAAAACAATAAGTTTTATTTTTAAAATACTATGTATTAACAAATGTCTGGCAGAATAGCCTGCTGTCCTTAACCATGAGTACCTTGTTCAGAGCGACCTAGTTGGACCCAACTCTGCCTACTAGCCTAGATCTCAACCCAGTCAGAGAGCTGGAGGAGTCCAGGATTGCAGGACTTACAAAGGCCCGTGCTTCCCTGAGACTCTTGTTGGTCCTAAGTATCCATGCGGAGTCAGGAAAGCCTAAGGAAGCCAGTAGGTAAGAAAAGTTGGAAATGAATATGCATTTGTGCAAGTGCTGTTGCTGATCCTTAATTGCTGATCCTTACTGTTGCCTCAGGGGAACTGCCATTTCCGGGGCCATGGTGTGCAGAGGTGTCTCAGAAGGTGCCACGTATCAGAGCTTTAAGACTATTTCCTGACAATCATTTTTTTTTTTTAATATCAAAGCAGCCTTATGCTGTGTCTCTATTCAGACACAACTGTCAGAATAGAGACACAGCACGTTTTTTAAGGGAAGAACATGAAAACTTACCCCATTTAACTCTCATGGGGGTAGAAAGAGTAACGTGATTCACAACGCAGCTGTACTCAGCTCCTGCGCTGGGAGTGAAGTTCGCGTGCACCAGAAGATAGAAAGACCAGTCCTTGCTGAATGACAGGTCTGACCTCTCCACTGGCATCTTCTCGTCATTCTTCAACAAGTCAATATCAATCTCAGGAGGATGGAACCCAGAGACAAAGCAGTTCAGGAAGTTAGGTTTTCCATTCTCTGGGGGATGCCGCGAGTAAACCTGGATCCTTGGTTTCCCTGAGGAACAAGAGAGAAAGGCAAATGAAAACTGCATACTATGGCACCTGAGGCTACCCTGGTCAAAAGATAGATCAGGCACCGCATGTTTGAATTTGATCATCCATTCTCCCAGTTTCATTTCCACTTTTCCAAAAGGCTGCCTCCATTTTGAGGGATAAACTTTGACCTAGTATCTTTCGGCTTTTTCTGGCAGATTTCTAATAGTATCTTCTGTCACTGGAAATTGTGACAAAACTTTATTTATTTTTTTAACTTTTTATTTATTTTTATTTTACTGATTTTTTTTTACAGAGAGGTAGGGAGAGAGATAGAGAGCTAGAAACATCGTCCAGCTGCCTCTTGCACACCCCCTACCGGGGATGTGCCCGCAACCAAGGTACATGCCCTTGACCGGAATCAAACTCGGGACCTTTCAGTCCGCAGACTGACGCTCTACCACTGAGCCAAACCGGTTTCAGCTGTGCCAAAACTTTAAGAAACTTCCTGTGGAGGCTCTCAAGAACTTTTTTTAAAAATATGAAAATGAATATTTAATCAAAATGAGAAATCATAACAACTAACAAATTTGTTGTTGTCAATCCTGACCGGAGGATATTTTTCCGTTGATTTTTAGGGAGAGTAGAAGAGAGAGGGAAAGACAGAGAGAAACATCAATGTGAGAGAAACACATCGACTGGTTGCCTCCTGCATGAGCCCCGAACAAGGCCCCAGGCTGTGGAGGAGCCTGCGACCAAAGGACATTCAAACCCCACACCTTCCGTCTGAAGGCTGAGGCTCTATCCAACGAGCCAAACCGGCTAGGGCACAAATAGCAATTTTGAAAAGCTGACACATAGAAAAGCTGGTCCCAAAACCCAGAAAGGGTAATACATTATTTTTATCAATTTGTTGACTAATAGTGCCTGAGAGCACTTTAAAGAAATATTTTTTTTTTTTGGGGGGGGGGCACCCAAGAACATGAGCATCATGGGAGGCCCAGAAGCCCTCCCTGGTTCACAATCTGGCATCCTAGCCTTGGGGAAGCGTGATGGTTTCTTCCCTCCAGAGGTGCTCTAGCTCATCCAATCTTATGGCTTTAATCTGAACCATGCTTCCCCCCACCCACACCCTCCAGCCTCCAGGTCTAGGAGCTTGGTGTCTGTAGCCAAATTTATCCCTGAGGCCCAGCAGATGGGACCAGGGCCCATGTGCCACAGTGTTTCTGTGGCAGCCTTCTGGACCAATAAAGAAATATTTCTTTATTGATTTCAGAGAGGAAAAGCAAGGAAGGGAGAGAAAAACATTAATGATGAGAGAATCATTGATCGGCTACCTCCTGCACGCCCCCTTCTCCGGATGGAGCCCGCACCCCAGGCATCTGCCCTTGATCAAAATCAAACCCCAGACACTCTATCCACTGAGCCAAACCAGCTAGGGCTAGAGCACTTTTTTTTTTTTTTTTTTTTTTTTTTTTTTTTTTTTTTTTTTTACTGTATTATCTTTGATCACTTCTTTATCTGGCAATTATTTCTATGGCTTCTTAGCACCTATACAATTCCTTAACACATCACTCAAAAGTCTACATGATTTGGCCCTAACCACTTTTCAAACTTCATTTTTCACTTCACACACCCTTCATAGCATCCACATCGAAAAGCTCATGTTACATCTTTCTTTTTTTTATTTTTATTCCAGCTCCTGCTAGATTGACATCCATCTGACTTCTCTATGCGTAGTGTCTAGTAAAGTGACTCTGTAAATGGCAGGTGCTCTGTAAATGGTAGATGTTATTATTACTAGTTGCTCAGATTACTAAAAGAGTCAACCCGAAGTATATATTTTACAAAACGCAACCATTACTTCCTGCCCAGAGTTTATACACCAAGCCCCTATCTGCTTTTGTACCTGATTTCATGGGCTACAAGATTTATATGCCGGCAAGAGCTGGCAAATATCTTAAATGAATGAGAACAATAGGAAACAATGGCTGAGTTAAAAAACAGGATAGGGTGAGGACTCTAAAGATTGGGGGAGAACATACTCGCCATTATGACCATGTAGAGCCATGCATAAAAATGGGGTTTGCATCTTAATCGGCACCCTGAAATGATTTCTATAGCTAGCTGGGTTCAAAATACATTGCCTAATGCTACAGAACAGTGGTTTCCAAAAGGGAATGTATGATTAGACCATCCCTGGAGGTGCAGAAGTAAAATATAAACTCTATTTCTGTATTTTTCATCCAAATGAAGAGAAGTGTTCTGCTACTAAATATACAGACTGACACTAATGCATGTGTATAATTAAATACATATATGGCCCTGGTTGGTGTGGCTCAGTTGGTTGAGTGTCACCTGTGCACCCAGAGATTGTTCGTTGATTCCTGGTCAGGGCACATGCCAGGGTTGCAGGGTCATTCAGGAGGCATTCGATCAATGTTTCTCTCTCACATTGATGTTTTTCTCTCTCTCCCTTCTTCTCTCTCTAAAATCCAATAAAAACACTTTAAAAAAAATAAAATCCATATACCTTCAGGGTTCATGATTACTACAGAACAACTGCTACTCCAGGTCCAGAAGGTGGTGGGGAAGAGAAGTACCAAGCCACTCTGACCATATGTATCTGCCTAGAAACACTCTATCATCGAAGGAAAGATCACCAGGAAAGAAAATATCAAAAGCCAGTAAGAGCTCTAGCTGGTTTGGCTCACTGGATAGAGCGTCAGTCCTACCGACTGAAGGGTCCCAGGTTCAATTTCCGTCAAGGGCACATGCCTGAGTTGCAGGCTCGATCCCCAGTAGCCGGCGTGTGGGAGGCGCCGATCAATGATTCTCTTTCATCACTAATGTGTATTTTTAAAAAGTATGTATTTTATTGATTTTTTACAGAGAGGAAGGGAGAGGGATAGAGAGTTAGAAACATCGATGAGAGAGAAATATTGACCAGCTGCCTCCTGCACACCTCCTACTGGGGATGTGCCCGAAACCCAGGTACATGCCCTTGACAGGAATCAAACCTGGAACCTTTCAGTTCCGCAGGCCTCCACTCTATCCACTGAGCCAAACTGGTTAGAGCCATCATTAATATTTCTTACTGATATTTCTATCTATCCCTTCCACTCTGCAGTCAATATAAATATATTAAAAAGAAGAAAATTACACTAGAACTGGACTGAAGTAACCTAAATGAAGCCCTGGTTTATTTCCATAAAGTTAAAAGTGAAGATAAATCAAAATGCTCTTTGTATTTGAGCTTCTAATATTTAAACTATAATAAAAGCAAGGCTCATCTGGCCTGGAATTCTCACTTTGAGGGAACTAGGAAGGGTTTTTGTAAAATCATCTTGAAAATCTCTTTTAAGAAGAGGACCAATATCAGACAGGCCTGGATTTGAACCTGGATCCAGCCTCTTATTGAAAAATTAATTTATGCCAACAGTGAAGCAAACAAAACCCTCACATGGAACAGAGCAGAAAATTAACCCCCAGAGGCAATCACCATTACCAATGTCTTGTGTATCTTGCAGAAATGACCTACACAAGCCATATGTTAGTTTGGAAATTTTCAAATTAAAAAAAAAAATTTTTTTTAATATCAGCTTGTTATTTTACAAAAGGCTTCTACAAGTCAGCGGCAAATATCATTCATAGTGACAACAGACATCATGCTTTATTTTGTAAGTAAATCATACATTAAATACATTTTTTTCTCATGATCAAAAGACCGCATTTCACAAAGGCCCGTTTTAGGGGAAAATGAGAGGGTCCAGTACATTACAGGGTATTTGGAACGGGGTCCACGCCCGGGTGTCCCCAATGGACAACTGGGGAACCACTCCTATTGCCCTTATCACTGGTTTTACAGCCTCTATGGCTATCTAACCTTGGCTTTTTCAAAACTGAAAGTAGAAGCTGAGTTAGATCATCTCGGAAAGAACCAGGCAAGGAGCCAAAGGGAGAGAGCCTTCTGGAACGATAAGGCAGCAAGGGCTCAGGGCTGCCCCGCTGGACAACCTAACACCTAAAGCGGGCGTTTCTGAAACACACACACACACACACACACACACACAACCGCCAAGATTACAGCCCAAAGGCTTACCCCTCGGCAGGACGCTCCAGTCGGGAGGGATTGCCCGCCATCGATTCCCTGTGTTTAAGCTACTTCAACTCTAGTCGCCTCAGTTTCCTCCTCTGTGAAATGCTAACAACCTTCCTGTTTTCATCGTGGCTGCCCTGAGACTTAAGCGACCTAAAGCACCCAGCGTGAGTCGTCAAAAACCGGCAGCTTTTGTGGTGATAAAAAGCGCCGGGTGATGGGGACATGGGACTTAACGACGTGGAAGCGCTCAGATGCCTCAAACCGCCAAGGTTTGCCTCCGCGCTCCTGGGAAAGCGCGAAGGGACAGGTGAGCCGGGCAGGCGCCGGGAGGAAGCCGCAGCCCGGCGGTGCCCAGCGGTGCCCAGCGGTGCCCAGCGCGGCAGGGCTGCTGTGGGCTGATCTACCTCGCGTGCCTCCCCGCAAATGTCTGTCCCCACCCGCCCGCCTTCCGCTCCAGCTGCGCCCGCCCGGGGAGCAAGCGAACCCCGCCCTCCCCGGGGTCGCCGTGACGCTCACCCACACTTTGTCCCCGGCCCCCCGGCGAGCCAGGGTTCTCCTCCGGGACCCCCACCCACCCTCCACCCCCGCTCTCAGAGGAAGAAGAAAAAAGCTGGAGTTCTGGGCTCGCACCGACACCGCTCTCCCCTATCCCCCACCCCCCACCCCGCGCCCCGTCCCGTGGCCAAAAGAGAGCCCTTGGGAGGACCGGGGTGGCGCAGAGAGTGCCCCGGCGGGAGAGGCAGGGCCCCCCGAGGAGGAACGGGGGAGAGGGCACTCACGCTGTTCGGCGTCCAGGCCAGACAGGCAGAGCAGCCCGAGCAGGACCACAGCCACGGGGAGAGCCATGGCCAGCGCAGCGGGCGAGGACGAAGCGCTCAAGTGAGAGCGCGACCTCGCGTCTCGCTTATATTCCCCCCCGGGAGCGCCAATCAGAACCCTGCCCGTCACCAGTTTCCTAGCTCGAGGTGCTGGATCAGGTTAGAAAAAGGACCATGCATTTTCAGTTTCATTTTCCTATAAAAGCCTCGTGATGTGTGGAAGAAGGCATGGATTGGACGGGTTGGGTTCGCTGTTTGCACAAGGGCGTCCTCCGATCCTGGGCTCGTCCCGAGCCTGAGGCGCTGGCCGCCCCGTCCTAGAACTTTAGCCAGGACCGCACCTTTGTCCAGTGCCCTGGCTTTCCCAACCAGCCCGGGATGATGCTGATCACTGATAGTAACTTCTTTGAACTTTAGGGTGTAACAGACCATATTCAACCAGTTAAGGGCCTGGTCCCTGCGGTTTTCATTTGGGGGTGTGGGGTGAAAGGGGGGAGAAAAGGGGAAGCCCAGAAAGATTAAGTGCGTGGCTAGAGGATGAACGGAGCCGGGCAGGGCAAGAACCAGTGTTAATCATTACAGCTTGGAATACACTGCAGGTTTCTGGGTGTGCGGGGCAAGGATAATAGTCCAGGAACCTCGAGGAGCTCAGAGAACTGTTGGGAGTGAAGGAGGACCTTCTGACTTCCTGAATCCCTTCAGGGAATAGTTTCTTTGTGTAAAGCTCCTTGCCAAGGAATTTCCTGTATCTTCTCGTTGCTGTTTAGGTGGTTTTCTTTCCTTTTCTTTTCTTTTTTTTTTTTTTTACAGAGAGGAAGGGAGAGGGACAGAGAGTTAGAAACATGGATCAGCTGCCTCCTGCACACCCCTCACCGGGGATGTGCCTGCAACCAAGGTACATGCCCTTGACCGGGATCGAACCTGGGACCTTTCAGTTCGCAGGCGGACACTCTATCCACTGAGCCAAAACCGGTCTCGGCTGTTTAGGTGGTTTTCTTTGTTTTGTTGCTTTGTGGGGAACTACCCACTGATAGTAACTTCTTTGAACTTTAGGGTGTAACAGACCTCTGTAGGTGCCTTAGAATGGTACTTGGCACATGGTAAGTATTCCGTAAACTGAATGAGTGAACGAACTATGGCAAAGAGGGAGCGAAGACTTTAATAAACTCTACGAGGTAGGAGTTAAGTCGTTTGTTTTTATGGATAGGGAAAACAGAGGCTAAGAGACAAGTATTCAGACTCGGGCCTGATTCCATGGGCAGTCGTGCTCCCAACACTTAGAAGATAAAGGGCATGGCAACTTTAGTGAGAATTAAAATTGCTCCCAGCCAAAGAGGTAAACCTACCGATTATGAGAGAGAGACTATTTTAGACAGATTCTTTAAAATCTGTCTAAACACACACACACACACACACACACACACACACACTAAAAACTCCTGAGATAACATATAAAAAATATGCTGCCAGCAAATGGCTGCTGAGTCCTGAGTCCTCTGGTCGTTCTCTTTGTGCAACAGTGAAAGAGGAAGTGAACCCTGGGTGGGGGGGGGGGGGGGGGGGGGGGACACAGATCTGGGAAACCACCTCGGTTTTCAGTTGAAGGACGTTGATTTGTGCTTCCCCAAGGTGCACAACAGAACTCTTCTTGGTTTCTTGATTTTTAGACCTTTTAAAGATCCTTATGTGGAAGCCGTGGCTAAACTAGAAAAAGTTGAATATTCCCCACAAACTTTAATGAAATGAGTTAATACACAGAGAACCTCACACAGTTCCTAACAAATAACGATATGTAAACTATTTGACAATTACCTTGTAATTACTGTTGTTATTTATATAGTTTTTCTACTATAACTATTACTCTTGAAATTAGGAAACATTTTGTGCATAAAGTTGTAAGTAGAGACATTCCTGCCTCATAGTGCACATCGTAGCTACCTGTTGAATGGTCGCTTAGACTAGAGGCCTGGTGCATGAAATTTGTGCATGGGGGGGGGGGAGTCCCTCTGCCTGGCTGGAGATCAGGATCAATCAGGGCCATCTCTCCCAGTTCCAATTGGGGCTGGTGACCAGGGAGGGACTGCGGGAGGGATCTTGGGAGGGCTCCAGGGCGTGTCGGACCCCATCTCACCCAGTCTTGATCAGCCAGCAACAAGCTAAACTACTGGTCAGAGCATCTGCCTCCTGGTGGTCAGTGCACGTCATAGTGACCGGTCAGTCGACTGCTCAGTCGGACACAGCATATTAGGCTTTTATATACATAGATTGTAACTCACGACGTGGAATGCTCAGCATGCACTTTTCCTCCACCCCCTGGTCTTGAAACCCTCATGTCCTTCCAAGGCTTTGCTCAGCCTCTTCAGCTGCCACACAAAGTAAATTGCATCCTGTGCATGGAAACCCTTTGCAGGCTCCATGGGTTTGCTACAGTTCCGATGACCCCAGCATGAGGAGAGACACCCTCATTATCAGGTAGCACAATCATGGTAAGACCCCTGTTCAGCCTCCTGCAGCAGATTTGGAAATAGCCCAAGTGTCCATCAGTAGATGAGTGGATAAAACCAACCATGGGTTGCCCTAGATGGTTTGGCTCAGTGGATAGAGCCACAGTCTGTGGAATGAAGGGTCCTGGGTTCGATTCCGATCAAGGGCACATTCCTGGGTTGCAGGCTCAATCCCCAGTAGGGGGCATGCAGGAGGCAGCAGGTCGGTTCTTACTATTGATGTTTCTCTCTCTCCTTCTGCCTTCCTCTCTGAAATCAATAAAAACATATTAACAAAAATAAAAATAAATAGGCCATGAATCAAACATTGCTGCTCTCCATCCATCCAGTCCCCTCACACCCTCTGTACACCCCCATCCCACCCCACCACACACACACACACACACACACACACACACACACACACACACACACACACGCTTTGCTAGGGTCTGTAAAGTGTGGGCTCTCTTCCCCCATGGCTCTGCGGGGCGGGGCTGTGTGGGGCGGGGCAGGGCTGTTCTGGGCAGGCTAGGTGGTGTGGGCAGGGCCCAGAGGCGGTGCCAGTGCGGAGCTGTGCGAGGGGGGAGGGGGGACACGCCGCACACAAGCCCAGGCGGGCCTCGGAGGAGAGCTGGGGTGGCAGGTCACAGGGAGGAGGAGGGAGGGACAGGGAGCTTGTCCCGTGGGAGAGGCACACTGCCCCCATCCAGCAGCTTTTCTAGGCCCCTGCGCAGCTGTCACTCTCCGCCCCTCGCTGCTTCCCGTTTCCTTTCAAATTTTGGATTTGGTTTCCCCGACTCAGCCCAGCCCCGCTCCCTGCTGCGTCTGAGAGCCCCAGGCCCCTTGGCCTCTGGCAGGCACTCCTGGCTCGTTCTCCCCCCCCCCCCCCCCCCCCCCGCCCACTCCGGTAATGGTGCTACCCACTCTCCTGTTAGTGAAACTTAACAAATAAAAAGAATCTGAGAACGCCTCAGTGTGCGGAAGGCTGTGCAGTCCACGCTCTCAGATCGTGAGTAGCAGCTTCCCACACCACCTGGTCCCTTCTGGCTGCCGCCCCCTCCCTCCCACCTGGGGCTCAGGCCAAACCCTGGGAGCTTTTACCTCACACCTCACTTTCCCGCCCAACCCGCCAGCGGACACAGCAAGCTAACCTATCAGTTGGAGCATCTGACCCTGGTTGTCATGTGCTCGAGCAATGAACTCCAGAAGAACTCTGGTGGAGGGGATAATTTGCAATATTAGGCTTTTATTGTAGCAGATAGGCATAGTTCACGGACATAGGTGACAGGGTAGTGAAGACCTGGGGGTGTGGGTAGGGGCTGGGAGGAGGGGGTTAAGGAAGGGGAAAATGGGAGATATCCATAATACTATCAACAATAATATATATATATATATATATAAAATTTTATATATATAATTTTATATATATAATTATATATATATAATTATATATATATAATTTTATATATATAATTTTATATATATATAATTTAAAAAAAAAAAAAAAACAAGAGCACTGTTTTCTTAGCAGGTCAATCTTCTAGAAATTGACAGACAGCAATTTTTAAAAAAGATGTTATTGATTTTTGGAGAGGGGGAAAAGAGAGAGAGATAGAGAGTGAAACATCAATCTGAGAGGAAAAACATTGATCAGCTGCTGCCTCCTGCACGCCCCCTACTAAGGATCAAGCCCACCACCCTGGCATGTGCCCTTGAGCAAAATTGACCCCAGGACCCTTCAGTGCACAGGTCAACATTCTACCCACTGAGTCAAACCAGCTAGGGCAAGGGTAAAAAAAAAAAAAAAAAAAAAAAAAATATATATATATATATATATATATATATATATATATATTTCAGAGAGGAAGGGAGAGAGATAGAAACATTAATGATGAGAGATAATAATTGATTGGTTGCCTCCTGCACACCCCCTACTAGGGGCTGAGCCCACAAACTGGGGATGTGCCCTTGACGGAAACTGAATAGAGACCCTTCATTCTAGGCTGACACTCTATCTCCTAAGCCAAACCGGTTAGGGCCAAGGGTCTTTTATATATATATAATTGATTTCAGAGAGGAAGAGAGAGATAGAAATATCAATGAAGAGAGAGAATGTCTGACTGGCTGCCTCCTGCATGCCCCCTGCTGAGTTATCATCAGCTCAGCAATTGAGAGGGTAGGAGTCTTCCCAAAGCCTGAATTGACCAGGGGACTTGGTTCTCTCCCTTCTATTACTGTCCCCAGAGTTGGCTCAGCCCCCGATGGCACTGCCATTGCTGGACTATCTCATAGACACTATGAACAAATGAGTCAAACCACTCTTGCTCCACCGGCTGTTGCTGAGGTTAAAGAGGTAATGAGAATAACAAAAAGAGCCCTCTATTACCCAGGGCTGTGGTGAGCAAACTGCGACTTGCGAGCCACATGCGGCTCTTTGGCCCTATGAGTGTGGCTATGCCACAAAATACCACCTGGGCGAGTCTATTTTGAAGAAGTGGCTTTAGAAGAAGTTTAAATTTAAAAAATTTAGCTCTCAAAAGAA